ATATATATATATAACCAACATGATTCATATAATATGTAGTCACCTCGCAAAGCTCTCTTGGAAAAACCAGCCGCTCGAACAGCTGTCATTGGTCGAGCCACACTATCCTGAGAAAAAACATAAACATTGGAACAAAGGCTGTACCCAAACAGAAATAATATTAATATAAATAACATAGTTCTAGTTGTCTCTATTTTAGCAAACATACATTGAGGGGAATTTATCAAAACTGGAGCAGAGAAAATCTGGCACAATTTCCCATGGCAACCAATCAGCTTCTCTCTCCCCAGTTTGTTCAGTTAAGATTTGAAAATGAAAGAGAGAAGCTGATTGGTTGCCGAGCAAAGCTGCTCCAGATTTTGTCTGCTCCAGTTTTGATCAATTTTCCTCATTGTGCCTAAAGGTAGCCATACACTTTACAACCATCGCAAGACCTTAGTCTTGCGATGCTTGTAAAGTAATTTAAAAAACGTACGATCTGCCCATCTTGGACAGGCAGATCGTACTTGGGGCGGGCTTCCGATGACTGCAATGCTGAACGGGCAGTGCGCGCATGCACACACTGGCCCGTTCGGCATTTGTCTCCCGAGCACCGTTCAAACCAGCCGAAAATCGTAAGATTTTCGGCTGGTTTTCTAGCATGCTCCTCAGACAAAAGACGTGCGACCGTACAGTAGAAATGGTCGCACGTCTTCATTCACACTGCACGATTCTCGTACGATCGTGGGATTTCCCGCGATTCTCGTACGAGAATCGTGCAGTATATGGGCACCTTTACACAACCTTCTTGCTCCCTAACAATCAGAAAAAGGAATTGAGGAGGAATTGACAAACAGTACATCTACACCTTGTAGGCTGCCTTGCACAAGCTGCGGGATAACTCGCCTGCGCATAAGATTGGAACACACACGTCAGAACACTAATGTGAAGTTGGGTTAGTTAGAATTTTTGTTCAGTCTTATATTCATCTCATGTTAGAGAGGCGAAGAGGTGAACAGATCATTCGGATGTTCCAAACTATAATTATGGCCAGCTTAAGATAATCTCTTAATAATAAGATAATATTGTCTTTTGTCCAATCAGCACTAAGAGCAAGGAGTGACACATACTGTACATTACAAGCGGTATGAATGAGAAGACACTGCCCACATCTATCAGAATCAGGGTGTTAAATCTTGAGGAGAAGTAGGAACAGTGTGCAGTGAGGTGGTCCACATCCCCCATATTTTATAAAATCTGCATTTGTTTTTTAGGCTTTTTCCTTTATTTTCACCTGGGGATCCAGCCAGTAACACAGTTCCTAAATTAGGTGGCTGCACTCTATGGGAGAACAATGGAGCCACCCTTGGACAGCAGCATTGTCACTGTGGGGAGGGTGGTGTTAGATACATTAGCAGATTTAGATGGACTTGAATTACAAATTAAATTCAAACTCCAAGTAAAACACTTTATCCGCGCTGGCGGATCGGAGCGGGGAAGGGGGAATCCAGCCCCTCCCCTGTCATGGCAGAGGGCTGTGACAAGATCGAGAGGTGAGAGAACGCCGGTATGTGTTCGCTCACCTCCCGATCTACTGAGCCGACCTGTGACAGTCTCATTGTCACAGGTCAGCTAGAACTATGAGGTGAGTGAAAAGCACTCAACTCATAGTTCTCCTTTAACAGGAAAGGGAGGTTTGATCCTTGAGACCATACATCGGTTCCAGCTTTTCAGTCAAGAAGTAATTTGACTTTCTACTTCTATCTGAAACCTTTGGGACTGAATGTAAACGTCCAAGATAGGGTCAATGCTGCTTTGGGTTTGGGAACACTGAACAGGTTACCCCTGGAACCATTTTGCTGCACGGTCTAGGACAATGGCATCTTGATCCAGAGGACCATTGCAGATTTGCTAGTCTGTGAACAGACACAAGAAGGAAGTGAGAAAATGAGGAGGGTAAAGGGAATGAAACCGGAGTTTTCAGCCCTGGGACCCCACTTCCTTTAGCCAGGCATCTGGAATGCAATAGTTCAAGTGTCCACAAAAGTCAACATACGTCTCCCCACTCTGGAAAGTGTGCGGGGTGCACTTTTATGAGGAAGAAGGCTTGTCCAAGGATTTAACAGCCTTGGATTGCCAGACTTTGCAAGTGGACAGGAGGCCAAGCTTGGAGGGCCTTGACACTGAATTTGAGGAGGTGAAGAACTGAAAGGGACGCTTCTTGATTGGCAGTGAGAGAGATAACTCTGCCACCTGCTCCTTAGGCTTCCTTCACTGTGGAATTTAGGTGCTCTTGTTGGCAGAAGCATTGTATATTATCAAGAGCTGGTACCTTGAGGACCAATTGGATCAAATGCTTCTCATACAAAGGTTCCAAAGTCCAGGACTTTAGCCGAAGTGCCCTACACATAATTCCCGACGAGGCACATGCAAGAGGTAAGGCGGGAGGTTTTCAGCAAACCATCATAGCTAAAATCTAACACTACAGCCATCTGCTTTATGCGGTCAACAAGCAAGGCATCAAACTAGTTACCTTTTTAAGGGATTCTGACAACTCAGATATATTTTAACAAAGTAAAGTCGCAGCCAGAATTGGGTGCAGAGCGGGAACTGCCATTGAAAACAGAGCTCTAGAAAGGGCTTCCAACTGTTTATTGGTTGGGTCATTAGAAGCAGGTGATTGTCAACCAATTGCTAGTCGCCTTTAATAAGGTGAGACATTGCTGGATCCCCATTGGAAATGGACCATTTCTGAACAAAATTCCCACCAAACAGATACAAAGCCAGTAAGCACTTAGAAGGAGCACACAACGTATCAATGTGTTTCCAATCTTCATAGAGAAAAAGTTGAAAAAGTGGGTGCAAAGGAAAAGTCTTTCCAGCCTCAAGTATTGGGTCTTAAATGGCCCAGGACTTGAAACAGTACTGAGAGTAGTGACAGGTACACTGCATCAATAAGAACTGAAACACTCTCATTCTGTTTGACAGTAATAGTAATAGACTGTGACTCCCCGGGGTAAGCTCATCGGTCAATGTTTTGAATGACTCAGAATCAGTTAGAATATGTGCTTAGAAGCCGCCAAGGCCACAGGTACATCAGATACAAGATCAATCAGAGGTAGCAAACTGAGTAACTTGAGTGGTAAAGTCTTGCATGAATGTGGTAAAAACCTCAGTGGAAAGGGACCCAGCCCCACCTGACGGAGCTGAGGAGAATAATGAGGAGGGGAGAGACTCGAACATTAAAGGACAATATTACTCTAAGGGGTTCAATCAGTAGGCATGCTCCAAGCACCCACTGACTCATTAGTGGAATGTGAGCTGGGGGCACCCGGTAAAGAGGGACTGTATAACTGACTGCATTGGTTGTAGCTTGTGTTCCTTACACAATACCTGTACAGCTCCTGTCATAGGTCTTCCTATAGATGAAGAGAGATTCACTCTGGGCTGAAAAAAACAAAGAAAGCAGTCAGACATTTATATACGTTAACAAATGAATCAGTAATTCTCTTAGGCCTGCTAACCGTGGCTGTCTGAATACAATAGCTGGCAGTGCAAATTCCACCATCCGTGCTGTTTGGCATGGGGGGGGGGGATA